CATTGGCTATGTCCACGCATAGGCGTGCTTTACTCCACGTGGACCGGTGAAACTGCCTTTGATCTTATACGGGGGATATTTGCTGCGAAATTTGGCGATTTTTGCAGCAACAGAGCGTGTTAAATATAGATATATAAAACGCACCCGGTATTTCACAGTGTTTCAAGTGACTTCAGATAAAGTATACGGTCCACATGCACTTTTGGATAAATGGAATTTGGATGTGCATGTTATCCAGTATTGCGGATCTGGTATCTTTACGGCCATGAAAACAAAGCCGGTGACTTTATAACGGGTGATTTTTTAAGAGGTATAGGATTTGATTTTCAAAAAAAAAACACAAAAAATTTGAAAAAACGATTAAATCTTTATTTGAGTCGATATAACGGTTGATATAATTTAATGTTTAAAGATTATTTCATGTAAATGTTGGCCGCGGAAGGTCCAATTTCGGCACACTCTCTCCAACATATCGGCCGGTATCTAACGAATAAATGCTTCAATATTGGCTTCCAGTGCGTCAATCGTTGCTGGTTTATCCCTGTATACATTAGCCTTAACATGGCCCCACAAGAAATAGTCCAACGGCGTTAAATCGCACGATCTAGGCGGCCAGTTGACGGGCCTCAAACGCGAGATAAACTGTTCACCGAACTCGCCTCTCAATAGGGCCCTTGTTTCGTGTGCGGTGTGGCATGTGGCACCGTCTTGTTGAAACCACATGTCAGCCAAGTCCAGCTCTTCCATTTCAGGCAGAAAAAAGTTTGTTATCATCGCACGGTAGCGCTCGCCATTCACAGTTACGTTCCGGCCATTGTCGTCTTTGAAGGAGTACGGCCCGATGATGCCACCGGCCCATAGTCCGTCCTCTCTGCCGCACCCTGTATAATACGAAAAATACGTATAAAAGTGGAATAATAACCGTATTTTACAATTGTTCAGGTATTTCAGTATGGTCTCCCTCTGAGACAAGTTGCACTTCAGCCAACGCCGTTTCCACTGTTGATACGATCGCTGAAAGTCTTGGATTGTGAGGAAGTTCATTTGCCGTGTCGTTTCTGGCTTGATGGATTCCACATCCCTTCCAGTGCCGCGCCCGAAGCACCATTTTGCATTTTGGCAACAGGAAATAGTCGCAAGGGTTAATATAATTGAATTGTTAATTCATTTTTTTAATAATTAGCTCTGACTATACATAGTGCAATAGTAAGACAGTGTGAAGCGCCATCTATCGCTAGAATCGATCACTGCGAAACAGTGAATCACAGCCAACAGGTTGGGACTGTATATACAAGGTGCCCCAATATTATGCGGACATAGAGGTGCCACGTGTTTTTAGACTGAAAATAAGTCAATTGGACATGACTTACCTCCACACAAAAGTGCTTCGATCGTTTGCTATTTCAAGGTCCGACACTCCGATTTAAATGAAACTTGGAACACATTTTTTGCTAGATGTTTTAATATTTGACTTTTACGAAAAACTGTAAAGGATTGCAGAAAGGTGAAAACTGCCCCCGCTGCAAATTTATTTAGGGAGTGATAAAGTTGGTGTTTTCTACTATACTAAGTGACATATAAATCCGAACACCCAGTTTAAATGGTTTTATTTTAATAAAAGTTGGTGAATGTATTTATCCTACTGTAAATAACAAGTGAAAAAATTTTCAGCCTTATCAGTTGGACATTCCGGTTTTTATACTGCTTTTTTTTAATTCACTAACGCTCTAAAAATGAATATTTCAGCCGCAGTAAAGAATCAACGTTGGCGGATTTTGGTTCTTGACATCCTTTACGATCGGTTACGATGCCTAGAGTACGGAGACCTGTACGATTTCGTCAACTTAGTGGGTTTGATAGGGGCCGTATAGTGGGACTTCGGGAAGCTGGACTTTCTTTTCGGGCAATTGCAGTTAGAGTGCAAAGAAGTGTAGACACTGTGGTTAGGTGTTGTCAGGCATGGCTTCGAGAAGGCCGTACGCAAAGAGCAAGGGGCACTGGACGCCGCCGTAGAACAACAGTCCGTGAAGATCGGCGCCTAAGATTATTGGCCTTAAGGGACCGTTTCTCCACTACCAGGTCCATTGCAAATGAATGGTTTGCAGAACACGGAAGACCTATTGGCATGCGAAGTGTTTACCGACGAATGAGAAGTTTTGGCTTGTTTTCATACCGGCCACACTGGGCCCTCCCTTTAACTCGAGAACACCGACGTAATCGCCTTGAGTGGTGCAGACAACGGTCACTCTGGGATCAGGAATGGAACAGTATTGTCTTTAGTGACGAGTCTCGATTTTGTTTAAGCATGCAAGATGGTCGTGCCAGGGTTAGAAGGCGACGTGGTGAAAGGAGGAATCCACAGTTTTTTGTTGAAAGACATGTTCATCACACTGTTGGAGTTATGGTTTGGGGTGCTATAGCTTATGGTTCCAGGTCACCTTTAATCTTCATCAGAGGTAACATGAACGCGCAGCGTTATATCCACGAAGTTCTAGAACCCCATCTTTTACCCTATCTTGACACCCTAGCAGATCCAACTTTCCAACAAGATAATGCCCGACCACATGTTGCAAGACTCACAATAGACTTCTTTCAACATAATGATGTCACATTGTTACCATGGCCACCAAGATCTCCCGACTTATCCCCAATTGAGCACGTGTGGGTTATGATGGGTAGGAGATTGCTCAATTTGCAACGTCCTCCTCAGACTCTAGAAGCACTTCGAGAGGAGCTGGTGGTTGCCTGGAATGAGATACCACAGGAGGACATTGACCACCTGATCAGAAGCATGCCTAGGCGCGTTGGAGAATGCGTAGCACATCAGGGTGCATCCACACATTATTAAAGGTCAAACGGCTTTAAAGCAGTGCAATCATTTTGAGATTTTTATCATTTACTTATTATGCTTCATTAAGTACTTATACAAAATTTTATTAAAATAAAACCATTTAAACTGGGTGTTCGGATTTATATGTCACTTAGTATATATATTATCAAAATATTCATTGTTAATATTTTAAACCTATAACACCCTGCGACATTTTTGTTATTCGTGTTTGATAAGAAAAAACTAAGATTTCAATAGTTGGGCCAAGTGAAGTGGGAAGGGGCTCGTACTATCGTACAATGATAGCAAAATGTGTTGGGCAACCATCCAACTGCAAAAACAAGTTTGCCGTGCTTCCAACAACAACGGTAACTGATTATCCAAAAAATCAAGAAAGACATTGTCATTTAGGGTAATGCTCGAAAAAATAAGGCCCAATAATTCTGTCTTAAAAACTCCCACGCGCTTGGTGCTAAACTTCACGTATTCAATGCAGATTTTGTACATGTCATATAGAATCCAAGAAACATAATGTCTCGTTTTCTGACGTCTTGGGATAACAATACTTCACCGCTCTTGGATCAGCAATAAGCACACCGAGTTCCCAGGCCGAAAATAAACCAGGACGTAGCTACTTGTGCTCTTGGGCCACTAATAGGCAATATTTTCTGCGCCACTCGGCTTTTCGGAGAAAAGAGTTGCATTTTATATTTTAATCCATTCAATTAACCATAAGTTTTGCCTCTTGAGGAATTTTTGTCAGATCACTCGTTTAGGTTTGAAAATTTGAGTGAAAATATTCTTATGAAAAGTCTTAGCCTCCCCTATTCTGAAAACACCCTCAAGCTTGATATTGGAAACACGATGGCATGTGAAGAAATGACGCTTCATTACAACGTGAATTGAATAATATGCGTGTCTTATCGTCAATCACTGGTTTCCATGGTATATTCTACTTCATAGTATTGCCACGTTTTTCTAAAACGACTTGTATAGACATCCACTTTCCTTTAGAATCCCTTTGTACGTTTGACCCAGCTCTATATCAAGCATGCATCCTCCTTTCACAAGGATCACTTGATCGATTCATCTACTTCGTCATCGTCGAACCCATTTATCACACTTTCCCGTGGGAGTTGGACGAATTTCAGTGTGATGTGAGCCGATATATCGTCGGACATCGTAAAATACATCGTAAAAATGTACAGAAACGAACGAATTTATTTTGTATAGTCTTAGGCACAAGGTGCAGTTATCGAGTCATCTTTCAATCGTCCAAAAATCGCTATACTCGGAGCTGCCATTTATGTGGGAAGATTTCCAAACTACCGTCTTGCCTTGATAAGCTAGACAAAAGTGATATGGGATTTTAAAAAGGGCGGCTGGCCCTTAGGTTCTGCAGAGCTGCTGAACTGCCAAAACTTTTGTCTTAACAGAAAAAAGCAGTAGTAATTTGATCATTATTTATTTTCCATGTTATCACACACATAGAAACAATACCGGCAACGCTGCCCCCGTCTGTTTTACAGCATTATAATCGACCAATTGTGTACTTGTCATTTTCGTCGCGACCGCAGCGTAACATTATTCACGGGCCACTTGAAAAGGGTCTGTGCACTACTTCGACACAAGCCGCACGCGCTTGCTTTTGTCTCTCTCTACAAAATCAAATGCGCAATTTATAACATCCTGAGCGCACATTTTGTCCCTAAAAAACAGAATCAGATAAACCAACAAAAGAGACCCCCATAACCCATAACGCCCCACCCACACCATCATCAAACAAAAGCAAGTCCAGCCAGCTGGGCCCGACCGTCCGTGGCGGGGTTCCTGGCCACGCACACCTGATTATGACGACGCAAACAAAAACGCAACGTTAGCACGATTGATGCAATACAGAACACAATCAACCCCGCCATTCCAGCTGCGATATGGGATATGGCGCGCGTTTTATACCATGAGAACCCATTGCCGGCAGTTTCCCATTCATTTAACGATGATAAAATAGGCCTTTTTCAGCTGACGCAGGCGGCTGTGGAATGACCATGTTCAGTTGTTTCAGCTTTCTGTTGTTTCAGCGGCGTCGCGTGGCATGAGTCACTACGTTCCATCTAGTAGGCTTTGGTGCATTTTGCCTGTTCGGTTTATTAGACGTATTCGGGCCGGATATTGGTCATTGTTCAGTTATTGTCCTGGTTGGTGTGTCCGTTGCGCGAAGTGCGGAAGAAGCTCAGCGTTGGTAAGCGTGGTGATAGGTCTGTCTTTTTGTCTGTCCGCTAATTTTATTACCGCCTATAACTTGAGAAGTATCGTTCGGATTTTGATGAAATTTTCACACAAGTTTTCTACTATGCCAAAGATTAAAAAGCTCCGTACTTTTTGAAAATCGTTCCAGTGGTGGCGGAGTTATGGGAATAAACGCGACAGAAATAAAAATCGTATAAACTTCGTCGATCATTTCCGAAAATTGTTTTGTAGGGACTGAAACTTGGGGGTTGAAGGTTGTAAATATAAAGTCTTTAGTGTTATTCAAAGATTAAGAAGCTTCAGATCCCGGTAACAACGGGAAAATTAAACGATAAAGTTCGATGTATTATTTAGCCATAATTCGAAACTCGACCTGGTTTGCGGTGGTGTCGTCACTGACACACCTCCAGCAGAAATGTTCATTTCAACAATATTTGGATATTGGGAGTACGAACCACTTTCCAGGACGAGTTGTCTCAAAATCTGCAGTTCTGTTATCTTTTCATTATATTTGGAATATCCAAATGCACTTTCACACCTCAAATTAGAGCTATCAGCACCCTTACAAACACAGACAAAAACTAGACAAAGCGCTTTCATAGTTTCAGTTTTCTGAAGTCGAACTGAAGACTAGCTATGTATAACCTTTATGATGCTTATGATGATAATGATGATGACGATGATGATGATGACGATGATGATGATGACGATGATGATGATGACGATGATGATGATGACGATGATGATGATGATGACGATGATGATGACGATGATGATGACGATGATGATGACGATGATGATGATGATGACGATGATGATGGCGACGTTGCGTGGGAAATGTTGAGTCAGTCTGTCTGCTAATTTTATTACCGCCTATAAATTGAGAAGTATCGTTCGGATTTTGATGAAATTTTCACATAAGGCTTCTACTATGCCAAGGATCAAAAAGCTCCGTACTTTTTGAAAATCGCTCCAGTGGTGGCGGAGCTATGGGAAAAAACGCAAAAGAAATAAAAATCGCATAAACTTCGTCGATCATTTTCGGAATTTTTCTTGTAAGGACTGAAACTTGGATGTTGGCGGTTGTAAATATAAATACTTTAGTGATATTCAAAGATATTATATCATTAAGAAGCTTCTGATCTCGGTAACAGCGGGAAAATTAAACGATAAAGTTCGATGTATTATTTAGCCATAATTCGACACTCGAACTGGTTTGCGGTGGTGTCGTCACTGACACACCTCCAGGAGAAATGTTCATTTCAACAATATTTGGACATTGGGAGTACGAACCACTTTCCAGGACGAGTTGTCTCAAAATCTGCAGTTCTGTTATCTTTTCATTATATTTGGAATATCCAAATGCACTTTCACACCTCAAATTAGAGCTATCAGCACCCTTACAAACACAGACACAAACTAGACAGAGCGCTTTCGTCGTTTCAGTTTCCTGAAGACTAGCTGCAAAACTATGATTCCAAAAAGCTTCAGTTCTCTAGCGGAAATGAGTCCCATATTTCCAGTCTGGCACTAATTTCTAATGCGGCACAGACAAATGTTTGCCGGAGAGTAAAACGCGGAGCAACTTTACGATCTCGTAAAAGGAGTATCCGTTTCTAGAAACGTCTTGCCAGCTCGGCTTCCACTATAAACGGGGCTGAGCGATATCAGAGAGGAGAAAAGCGTTTTCAAAGTAATTACCGAGGAATTGTAAACTGGAACGACAGTTTTTCCTTCCCGCTAATGCCTATCCCAGTTTGTTGGGTAATTGCATTCGAAATGCGGTTAAAGCAAAAAAGAACGAGCGTTTTCCAGGGATTTTAAAACAGCAATCAATATTATTATATAAATAATCATATAGGGTGAACAATATTGCTGTAGTTATTCAATTGTGAAATAACGAATATACGTTTGCCAGTCTCTTGCGAACGTGAAGATATTTTGTGGAATGAAGAACGATATTCTCATCTATTTTTAGTACCTTTTCCTCAAGCAAATATCCACGAGCTTTCAAAAGCAATTCATTTACAGAACGGTGGGTGTATCTTGTGACGCCAAGATACGTAAACGAAAATCAAACACCATTTTAGAAGTCCCATTAGTATGTTTATTGTTCGCATTAATCACCTAATGACTGCATTCCTCATGCAAATATATTCAAAATTATCTCATTTGTTCCAGGTACTGCTCTCCAATTAGAATGACGCATCATCAACCATCAGTTCACTCCGACTCGATCAGTGTCCGCGCTATCTTCGCGAGAGGTCCTGCATAGTGTCGTCGGTGTGCCTCCCAGGACGTACTGCCTCCTGAATAGTGGTACCATCTGAGTTGTTGGGAGTCACTTCCGCGAAGTCGTGCCTCCTGAGTAGTGCCTTGTTCAAAGTTATACCTTCGGAGTACCTGTGGGTACTGTCGGAAGCGTCTCGCGCGTAGAAGTACCGTGTAGTGCCCCCCCACTAGGTAGTGCCGGTGCTGTAGTGCCGCGCGTGGCAATGTGAGTGCGATGCCGTCCAAGAGGCAGTACGACTTGGTGCAGAATGACGAGTACGACACGAGGATACCATTGCATCCAGAGGAGGCGTTTCACCATGGGATCACCTTTCAGGCCAAGGTTAGTCAGTCAATCAATAAATCGAGCAACCAATAAATCAACCTATCTGTCTGTCAGTCAATCGATTTACAATCAATCAATAAAACAAACAATCAATCAGTCAGTCAGTCAATTAATTAGTTAATCAATAAATCAATCGAACGATCGATCAATCTATCAATCCATCATACGATCAATTAATCAATGATTCAATGAATCAGTTAATCAACCATTCGATCGATTAATTCATCAATCCTCCATTAATCGATCAATCAATGAATCAGTCAATCATTCAATCAACCAACAACCCGATTAATAAATAAATCAATAAACTGTTCAATAATTCTATCAAAAACTAAGTGAATTATTCATTCAGTTAATTAATCAATAATCAGTCATACAATCGAATTATTGATCAATCTACCAATCCATCAATCCACCAATCAATCAATCAACCAACTAATCATTCAATGAATCAATCAGTCAATTAATCATCCAATCGATCGATCGATCAATTTATCAATCCATCATCAACCGATCAGTCTATAAACTAACTACTCAATCAGTCACTCAATCAATCATCCAATCAACCAAACATCTGCTAAATAAATCATTCAATCAATAAAACAATCAATCATTTAGTCAATTTATCAATTAATCAATCATACAATCGAATGATCGATCATCTATCAATCTATCAAACGATCAATTAATCAATTATTGAATCAATCAGTTAATCAACCGTTCGATCGATTAATTCATCAATCCTCCATTAATCGATCAATCAACGAATCAGTCAATCATCCAATCAACTAACAACCCAATTAATAAATAGATCAATAAATTGTTCAATAAATCTATCAATTAATAAATCAATCATTCAGTTAATGAATCAGTAATCAATCATACAATCGAATGATCGATCAATCTACCAATCCATCAATCCACCAATTAATCAATCAACAAACTAATCAATTAATCATCCAATCGATCGATCGATCAATTTATCAATCCACCATCAACCGATCAGTCAATAAACCAACTACTCCGTCAGTCGCTCAAGCAATGAATCAATCAATCAATCATCCAATCAATCAAACACCTGCTAGATAAATCAATCTATAAAACAATCAATCATTTAGTCAATAGATCAATTAATCAATCATACAATTGAACCACCGATCTGGCAATCCACCAATCAATCAATCGACCAAATAACCAGGCAATCAATCAAACATTCAATCAATTAATCATTCAATCGATTGATCGACCAATTTATCAATCAACCATCAATCGATCAATCAATAAACAAACTAATCAATCAATCACCCAATCAATGAATGAATCAATCGATCAATCAATCATCCAATCAACCAACCACCTAATCAATAAATCAATCTTTAAATCAATCAATAAACCAATCAATAAATCAATCAATAAATGCATCGGTTGGTCGACATATCAATCCATGTTTTTTTTTATCAAAACTAAACGAAAGGCGTAAGCAGTTCGATTCTTGTACATTTGCTCTTGACAGTTTTTTATGGATTCAATCTAAATTTGGTACTGCAGAGGATGTTGTTGGTACTCTTGATACATTATCGGTTATATTTCCGCTTTGACAACAGTTAATAGTATTGTTGATTCAGTCAATTAGGAACATGTCAGGTAGTTTAATATTTCAGTCATTGACTTTATCATAACATCCAAATGCTAATTTTAAAAACAGCACAATCGCCAAATGTTTTACCGTTACGTTTTATGTAAATGGTCATATTTTTCACAACAATAAATATACCAGTGTGACAGTCATTTAGATCTTAGCATTTACAGTGGAAACTAATCCCAGAGGTGTGATATCTTCATAGACAAGAATGTTAGAAAAAATGAATGAAATTGCTTTAACCAAAGGCTAGTATTATAATACACAAGCCTAAAGGATCTGTTGTATATTTTACAAATTACGAGTATCTATAAGATCAATTTCTGGAAATGAAAAGTAATAAAAACTTGAAAATATACAGCCTGTTCTAATTTTGTAGCTATTTAAAATACCAGTATCGACAATTAAAAAGTCTACAAGCAATAAAATATTATACACAAACTTAACATTATCGTAAACAAACTCACTTAGCGAAAGTCGCATTTAGAATAAAATGGTTCGATAAATTACATCAAAAGCACAGTATGTTTTGCAACGAAAGAATCAGGATGGGCAACGTGAAGTTAAAAATGCATTACTCAGATGTTTTATTGCGGAATTAAGGTTTGTGTCATAAAAAAGATATTATGTTATTTGACATTGAAAATAAACACACGTCGGTTTTTAATCAACTTTTATTTAATATGCATGTTACTAGTTAGCGTATTATGAAATAACGAAATGAATGGAAATAATTTATGTACAATTCTTGCTGTCAAGGTTATTGTCATGTGATGAATGCAGAAAACAGCGACTAAAGATGATATTATAAGAGAAAATATATGTATAACCTTTATGATGCTTATGATGACGATGATGATGACGATGATGATGATGATGATGATGATGATGACGATGGTGATGATGACGATGATGATGATGATGATGATGATGACGACGATGATGATGATGACGATGATGATGATGATGATGATGACGATGATGATGATGATGATGATGATGATGATGATGACGAGAATGATGATGACGGCGTTGCGAGGGAAATGTTGAGTTAACCTTCTTGCCGCCATTTCTATTACAAAGCAATACTTTTAACCTGTTCACTATGCATAGAGTCTAAATAAGATGTGCTGGGAGTTGCTGATTGTACCACGTACTGAGCTGCCTTTAATAACACGTCCTCGTCCCGGCTAGGTATGTTACTTCTACGGGGTCTCTGTTTTCGTGTTACAAAATAGGCAGAGAAAGGCATAGAACCAGCAACGTTATAGTGCATCATAATGATACGATGGTGCCTACTCAACCAGCGGCTTATAATTTACGATCCCTGTAGACCGACACACCCACAGACATATTTTATGCATGAAGGAGAGGTTCTATTCGGTGTCCATTCAAATTTAATCGTTGCACTATGCGCGGATATAACAAGTTGTTGCTTGAACTTGTATTGAATAGTGCAAAGATTTACTATCTCTAACTGCAATTCCAACTATATATATTAGTATATAGATTGTATTTGGTTACAGCGCCATCTATAAGAGACTAACCTTTCCAAAGCAGATTTCTACATTAATAACATTGAATGTCAATTACCGTATATTCACCTTATAGTAGTGTGCAGGGTCATCAAAAAATATTAAATGTAGTCTAGATTCCATGCTAGATTAGTACCACTAATTACTATAATAGTCTGTTGAACGCCTTTTACTACCGCGTATACTGCTTCAATATAGCTTTTTTCAAAAATACAGCATTTTTTTCTCAAACAGTTTGCCTCTTTTTTGTGTGCGTTAATTGTTGATAACATTAATTTTGTGTGTCCATCCTCACTAGAGAGGAAGACGAATTTCCTCTGCGTTCAAAGATCTATCATTAAAACTGTACATGCACTGCTCCTCGTGTAAGACAGGACATAAAAAACACCTTTCGCGCTAATAGTTCATGTGTGTTAACTTTATGGTTAATGTGCATTTCAGGAATCCGGAGAACACGACATTCAAACAAGAGTATACAGATTACAGGCAGTAAAATTACTCATAAAAGATCTTCTGTTAGAACGCATCCTTCAGGGTTTTATGTGACTTGTATGAGGCTAGAGAAAAAGCGGACATGTATACTAAGTGACATATAAATCCGAACACCCAGTTTAAATGGTTTTATTTTAATAAAAGTTGCTGAATGTATTTATCTTACTGTAAATAACAAGTGAAAAAATTTTCAGCCTTATCAGTTGGACATTCCGGTTAACGCTCTAAAAATGAATATTGCAGCCGCAGTAAAGAATCAACGTTAGCGGATTTTGGTTCTTGATATCCTTTACGATCGGTTACGATGCCTAGAGTACGGAGACCTGTACGATTTCGTCAACTTAGTGAGTTTGATAGGGGCCGTATAGTGGGACTTCGGGAAGCTGGACTTTCTTTTCGGGCAATTGCAGTTAGAGTGCAAAGAAGTGTAGACACTGTGGTTAGGTGTTGTCAGGCATGGCTTCGAGAAGGCCGTACGCAAAGAGCAAGGGGCACTGGACGCCGCCGTTTTGGCTTGTTTTCATACCGGCCACACTGGGTCCTCCGTTTAACTCGAGAACACCGACGTAATCGCCTTGAGTGGTGCAGACAACGGTCACTCTGGGATCAGGAATGGAACAGTATTGTCTTTAGTGACGAGTCTCGATTTTGTTTAGGCATGCACGATGGTCGTGCCAGGGTTAGAAGGCGACGTGGTGAAAGGAGGAATCCACAGTTTTTTGTAGAAAGACATGTTCATCACACTGTTGGAGTTATGGTTTGGGGTGCTATAGCTTATGGTTCCAGGTCACCTTTAATCTTCATCAGAGGTAACATGAACGCGCAGCGTTATATCCACGAAGTTCTAGAACCCCATCTTTTACCCTATCTTGACACCCTGGCAGATCCAACTTTCCAACAAGATAATGCCCGACCACATGTTGCAAGAGTCACAATAGACTTCTTTCAACATAATGATGTCACATTGTTACCATGGCCACCAAGATCTCCGTACTTATCCCCAATTGAGCACGTGTGGGATATGATGGGTAGGAGATTGCTCAGTTTGCAACGTCCTCCACAGACTCTAGAAGCACTTCGAGAAGAGTTGGTGGTTGCCTGGAATGTGATACCACAGGAGGACATTGACCACCTGATCAGAAGCATGCCTAGGCGCGTTGGAGAATGCGTAGCACATCAGGGTGCATCCACAGGTCAAAGGGCTTTAAAGCAGTGCAATCATTTTGAAATTTTTATCATTTACTTATTATGCTCCATTAAGCACTTATACAAAATTTTATTAAAATAAAACCATTTAAACTGGGTGTTCGGATTTATATATGTCACTTAGTATATTAATTCGATCAGTACTAATTTTAAACGACACTTCACTTAATTGAGAAAATTTGAAGTGAAATGCTAGCTATGTGTCGTCAAAGTTCCACACAAGAGAGCAAATCAATATCGCATAAATTAAATATAGCGGAGGCCCCAGAACTGACCCTTGCGGACCACCAGATTAAATCACAGTAATAAAAGAGACGCCCCTAACCGTCGTAACTACTTGCTTTCTATCAGCCAAATAACTTTCGAAAAATGTGCACGTAATAATAATAATTTTCGTAAGTCTGGCCTTTACGCTGGTTTGACCGCGTGGTGACACCACTGTTAGCGCTCCGTACACCTTGATTAAAACCATAACTCTTTTTATGACCTCATCATAGACAAACGTATCGTTTCGATTATATCATCGAAACTCGATTCACAGCTGGTAAATTGCATATTAAGCGGTAGATTACGTGTTCTGACAGAGGAAAAAGAAAATCGCAGAATATCAAATTACCCGCCACAGTAGAGGAAAAATTCTGCTCCGTGCATTCCTCGCATTCTTTCAGCTTTTATCAAGTTCCTTAAGTGGACGCAGGTTGAATGAGAATACACTCGTTTGTTTAACCCAAGGTTACGGGAGCAATCTGCAGTTTAACAGATGCGTGGGAAGTCGTCACGTAAGAGCACGATGGGTTTGGAGTCAGCAAATGGACTCTTTGTGTTGTGGCTAGTAAATACTGCGAAAAATAATAGTTCGTCTATTTTGGACTGACAAAGGAACGCTTAAGCTTTAATTTAGATACAAAAACTATAATTTTAAGCATTGAATACACTCATTTTTAGGGACCTTCTGCTATTAAATTCCCTGTAACTCGAAAATGGTCAGATTTAGAGAAAAGTTAATGGAAGCCATTTTTGTTCGGAATAATCCACTTGGCCGGGCAAAAAAAAAATAATTTACTTAAAAAGGATTGTTTCAACAGATTTGATCTGGGTTACAGTGCGGGTATATTCAATTCTTGATTAAAAATCATAATTATCGGGGTCGCCGAGTATCTAAATGAAAACTAATCTAAGACCTTGAAGAGCTTTGGTTTTTGGCCTGGCAGGTTGTCAAAGTTGATCGTTTTTTTACATTGAGTTCCATATTACTCACCAAATAATCATTATTGTATATCAGTATGCTTCTTCTGTAAGGGTGTATTTAACTGACCAATAAAGTATGGGGCGTTTAGATAAAAAATGACATTTTTTAAATAGAATGTTCCATATTTTATCACGTATTTGGATAGACTCTTTTAAGAGAATCAGATTGATATAAAATAGCACAGTCTTTTGGTGTTTGATTGTTAAGTTGTTTCAAAAATAAGGTTCCCGCATTTTTTCAGGCTCAAGGAATTTTTTATTTGATAAAAAGAATTCACCAATGGAAACGTTGAAAAACTTGAAAAAATCGACGGTTCTGGTTTTCGAAAATATAATATTCATTCTCTTATGTCACCCCCCCCCCGGAAAGAATCGGAATAAAATCTACTACCGTAGATTCCCTACTATAGGAAATCCATTACAAATCATCGGTCTGCATTTGTCATTTTTCACGCAAAATTTGAGATACCTTAAGCGGATAGATTTAGATCATTGATTGACTTTTTATAAAATCAATTTATAAATCTACTTTGAAACAAGTTATAGTGTTCAGTTCTGCTACTGACACATAGGTGGCGCTGGATTTCGATCGCCTTTTGACTTCTCCAATGTCTATTTTAATTGAGTATCTCAGATGGAATACTTCAATCGGTGCTTGAAAATGCACAATTAAAAAGGCATAGGAGAAGACAAAAGGGATTGATGACCCAGCGCCATCTACGAGACAATAGCAGAACTAAACACTACAAAGTTTTCCAAAGCAGCTTTCCAAATTCATTCTGCGTTCTGCTACTGTCTCATCGATAGCGCTAGTGTCTTTCAGATCCGTTTTTAAACGCCAGAATATACGAGTATTATATGGTTAGCTATTTTTAATACAGAATCAATGATGAGGTATAGGAATACTTATACGTAAAGGGTTTTACTGCTGTGTCAAGCAAAATAAAATTCTGACTAGCAGTGTATGCATATTCATAAGGTATTTCATTAGCTGGCGGCCAGCACAGTCTAAGCAGCATATTTTCTAATTCATGAAATAATAGCTTGACGTGATTATGCAATTAAGCCGGCAGGTCTCGTCTCTCATCTTCTGCTTCTGCCTTCGTCTTCTTGCTGTAATAAAACACTGCTTGCTTCCAAAGGAAAAACGATCCGTTCGCGGTGCATCTGCCTTTCTGGGCGGGATCATCATCCTTTCTTTGTTCGTGACTGGATGCACGGACCCCAGCTTGCCTCCCTTTGCTTATAGCACAGGTAAAACGGGGCCGTAAGCGGATTTCCTAGAATTATTACCCGCTCTCCCCCATTGTTCTGCTGGTTCGACTTTTCAGCCTCTATTTCACTAAAAACTCTTTTTATTTCTCTGGTGCGATCAAAACTTGAGCACGCTCCTTTGACATGGAACCCTAAGGAATATTATATGAATATGTTGGAAGAAAATTTGTTTAACATTTCATTTGAAGCTTTTATTTGTCATAAGATTTTAGCAAAATGTGAGATAGTAAAGGCAACACCGCGCCCTGCAGCCCAGTTCAACAGAACGACAAGCTGTCAAGATTAGAGATGGGTTAGATCCACGAAAAGTATCGTAATGTATCGATTCTTATCGTTTTAGGAAGTATCGATACTTTAAAATATTGGAATCAAATTATCGATATCCAGCGGAAGGAAACAAAGAAGAAGAGTAATCTGAAGTTAGTCACTCTTTCTGACACAGTCCGGATCGAAAGATGACGATACTCGCGAAATGTATCGATACACCCAAGTGTCGTATGTAAAAATATCGATCCAAAATATCCGGTATGGGAGCAAAAGTATCGATACTTCTAAATATAGGATCGTATCGAACATCAATATTGTCAAGATGTGGGCGTCATGGAAATAATTTTAAATTTGCATTTTTCCAAGTGTTGTGCAACGATTTTGGGAAAAATTCCACGAATAGTCTTATAAAGCATAGTATAGTATATTTCAACAGTTGGCGGAGCGTACTCCACTGGGGTGAAACGGGATATTAATGCACAATCTGGCAACCGTGTCGCACCCTCAAAACATGGCCGCTGACAACCACACAAGTCACCGTGTTGTCATTGAATAGCATGGAATTAAACCTTCTTCAGTGTATATGTTTTGTGACTGGGACCAAGTGTTGACGGATCCCACACATGTGTCACTTGTTGGGGAGTTTTGAAATAATCAGCTGTTATTCAAATAACGTAATGTCTAATTATATAACCTAGGATGTGTACTCGTGAAAAAAGGAAAATATTGCAAATTTCTAGTTTTTTTGCAGGTTTTAGGTTTGCTGGTAGCTCTACGACATATATTTGGGTATTTCTTAATCGCTGTAAATATAGTGTGGATGTTTGTTTAGTTCCTGGCCAACGGAAAATATTCGACTTTATGGATGTTTGGAAATGAGCAATATCTATGAAATTTTTGGTAGAGTCTGTCACCAAGTAGGTGTTTAATGGCTATCAGCAAGAGGTTTATAGGAAAAAAACACGGGAGGTGATGTTAAACCAGTAAAATCTCTTCAAACTTTGACTGAACTATATGTAACTTCTTAATTTTCAATAAGCTGATGATGTTTCAAGGACAGTCTCCCTCACATCTGTGCAGACATCCACAAGATGTGTTCGAAATATTTCGTATGGCTCGTCGTCTGTTTCCAGGACTTACTTAATACCGAATTCCTAACTTCCTCGGACTAAAAGCCTAAGCGCCCGGCGAGCGGCATGCGAAGGTCATCAGTCGACTTCCAGTTTCATTGAAAGTACTCGCAGCGAGCATTGCGGTCGTTGTTCACATTATACTGTATCATAAACATCGCCAGCCTCCCGGCTTTATGTAACTTGATGATAGGAAGTTGTAATGTGACACCTACGCTAGCTGGTGCTCAGCTCGGACATTCGTTTCTCACTTTGGAAAAGTTATTGTTCGTTTGATCAACGGTACTTCGTGCCGGGTTACTCTACCGTGGATGACTTTGGAGGTTCGTTCTGGAAAAACGTCGTAAAAATGGTGTCGAGTAGAGGGTGTCTGCGTTTTTCAGTACTCGGACAGAAGGTCGGTTTTTGGCCTTTTTCTTCTCTGCCACAAGACCGTTTTTTCCTGGCATAGTAATCAACTTGTTTTGAAAATTTCATCAGAATCTGAGTGGTACTTTACAAGTTATAGAAGGACCAAGGATTATCGGACAGACCGACCGATCTCATTTTCGACATTTTCAGTGATTACAATGCTTCCTCGCCAGTGGCAAGGGAAGTAAAAATCGCTATTCGTGTATCATCTTCTAGCGATGATAGATTTGGTATAATGTGTACCTTAGGCTAAACGTGTCTCCACTCACGACAAAGTCATTAAGTGAAGGCTTGTATTACCTTTTATTGATTCATGACTCACTGTTATTCATATAACCAACAAAATTATCTCGAGTTTTAATTTTACTGTTTTGTTAAGAAATACCACTCACGTTTAACAAAGATTTTCAATTATATGATAAATATTTTCCGGCTGAATAGATCTTTTGCTATTTCGCTTTTCAGAATTCCGGCGTAAATCGCAGATAATTGTACTCAGAAACGCGGTTCGTAACAATCTAGAAAGCTGGGTAATTATTCCTTATAAGTACAAAATCTGCCGAGAAAATTGTTCAAAGAGGTAAAAGTGAACTTATTAAAGGCATTTATTTTGCTCTCTGAAACGCATCGCTTTTCTTGAAAGCGATTTAAATTCAAACATCTGGGCCTTTTAATTCCCGATAGGAATAATAGATATTAACGCGGCCGCATACGTACGGGATTCCGATTCGGAATAGCCCGAGAAAATTAAACTTTTGTTCGTTTAAAATCTATCTGGAATTTTTACCAGAACATGTCTAATCATCCTGGGCTATTCCGAATAGGAATTCCGTACGTGTACGGTCGCACTAATACAAAGAAATGTTCAGTGTAATCTGTACCAGTCTTTCCGTTTTTGCAATTTAATCCATGTAGGAAAATATGATATAAATTTTACCAGAAAATGTCTAAATGTCCTGGGCTATTCCGTATAGGTATTCCCAACGTGTACGTTCGCACTTATACAAAGAAATGTTCAGTGTAATCTGTACCAGTCTTTCCGTTTTTGCAATTTAATCCATGTAGGAAAATATGATATAATTTTTACCAGAAAACGTCTAAATGTCCTGGGCTATTCCGTATAGGTATTCCCAACGTGTACGTTCTCACTTATACAAAGAAATGTTCAGTGTAATTTCTTCCAGTCTTTCCGTGTTTCAATTATATGATAAATATTTTCCCGCTAAATAGATCTTTTGTTATCCACTTTTCAGAATTCCGGTTTAAATCGCAGATAATTGTTCTCAGAAACGCGGTTCGTAACAATCTAGAAAGCTGGGTAATTATTCCTTATAAGTACAAAATCTGCCGAGAAAACTGTTCAAAGAGGTAAAAGTAAGCTTATTAAAGGCATTTATTTTGCTCTCCGAAACGCCTTGGTTTTCTTGAAAGCGATTCAAATTCAAACATCTGGACCTTTTAATTCCCGATAGGAATAATAGATATTAACGCGGCCACATACGTACGGGATTCCGATTCGGAATAGCCCGAGAAAATTAAACTTTTGTTCGTTTAAAAACTATCTGGAATTTTTGCCAGAACATCTCTAATCATCCTGGGCTATTCCGAATAGGAATTCCGTACGTGTACGGTCGCACTAATACAAAGAAATGTTCAGTGTAATCTGTACCAGTCTTTCCGTTTTTGCAATTTGATCCATGTAGAAAAATATGATATAATTTTTACCAGAAAATCTCTAAATGTCCTATTCCGTATAGGTATTTCCTACGTGTACGTTCGCACTTATACAAAGAAATGTTCAGTGTCATTTCTTCCAGTCATTCCGTGTTTCAATTATATGATAAATATTTTCCCGCTAAATAGACCTTTTTTTATTTTACTTTTCAGAATTCCGGTGTAAATCGCAGATAATTGTTGTCAAAAACGCGGTTCGTAACAATCTAGAAAGCTGGGTAATTATTCCTTATAAGTACAAAATCTGCCGAGAGAATTGTTCTAAGAGGTAAAAGTGAACTTATTAAAGGCATTTATTTTGCTCTCTGAAACGCATTGCTTTTCATGAAAGCGATTTAAATTCAAACATCTGGACCTTTTAATTCCTGATAGGAATAATAGATATTAATGCGGCCGCATACGTACGGGATTCCGATTCGGAATAGCCTGAGAAATTTAAACTTTTGTTCGTTTAAAAACTATCTGGAATTTTTGCCAGAACATGTCTAATCATCCTGGGCTATTCCGAATAGGAATTCCGTACGTGTACAGTCGCACTTATACAAAGAAATGTTCAGTGTAATTTCTTCCACTCTTTCCGTGTTTCAATTATATGATAAATATTTTCCCGCTAAATAGATCTTTTGTTATTTTACTTTTCAGAATTCCGGTGTAAATCGCAGATAATTGTTCTCAGAAACGCGGTTCGTAACAATCTAGAAAGCAGGGTAATTATTCCTTATAAGTCCAAAATCTGCCGAGAAAATTGTTCAGAGGTAAAAGTGAACTTATTAAAGGCATTTATTTTGCTCTCCGAAACGCATTGCTTTTCTTGAAAGCGATTTAAATTCGAACATCTGGGCCTTTTAATCCCCGATAGGAATAATAGATATTAACGCGGCCGCATACGTACGGGGTTCCGATTCGGAATAGCCTGAGAAAATTAAAATTTGTTCGTTTAAAAACTATCTGGAATTTTTGCCAGAACATGTCTAATCATCCTGGGCTATTCCGAATAGGAATTCCGTACGTGTACGGTCGCACTTATGCAAAGAAATGTTCAGTGTAATCTGTACTAATCTTTTCGTTTTTGCAATTTGATCCATGTAGGAAAATATGATATAATTTTTACCAGAAAATATCTAAATGTCCTGGGCTATTCCGAATAGGAATTCCCTACGTGTTCGCAGTTGTACAAAGAAATGTTCAGTGTAATTTCTTCCAGTCATTCCGTGTTTTAATTATATGATAAATATTTTCCCGCTAAATAGATCTTTTGTTATATCACTTTTCAGAATTCCGGAGTGTAAATCGCAGATAATTGTTGTCAGAAACGCGGTTCGTAACAATCCAGAAAGCCGGGTAATTATTCCTTATAAGTACAAAATCTGCCGAGAAAACTGTTCAGAGGTAAAAGTGAACTTATTAAAGGCATTTATTTTGAACTCTGAAACGCATAACTTTTCTTGAAAGCGATTTAAATTCGAACATCTGGGTCTTTTAATTTCCGATAAGAATAATAGATATTAACGCGGCCGTATACGTACGGGGTTCCGATTCGGAATAGCCTGAGAAAATTAAACTTTTCTTCGTTTAAAAACTGTATCTGGAATTTTTACCAGAAAATGTCTAAATGTCCTGGGCTATTCCGTATAGGAATTCCCTACGTGTACGGTCGCACTTATACAAAGAAATGTTCAGTGTAATCTGTACCAGTCTTTCCGTTTTTGCAATTTAAACCATGTAGGAAAATATGATATAATTTTTACCAGAAAATGTCTAAATGTCCTGGGCTATTCCGTATAGGTAATCCCAACGTGTACGTTCGCACTTATACAAAGAAATGTTCAGTGTAATTTCTTCCTGTCTTTCCGTGTTTCAATTATATCATAAATATTTTCCCGCTAAATAGATCTTTTGTTGTTTCACTTTTCAGAATTCCGGTGTAAATCGCAGATAATTGTTCTCAGAAACGCGGTTCGTAACAATCTAGAAAGCTGGGTAATTATTCCTTATAAGTACAAAATCTGCCGAGAAAATTGTTCAGAGGTAAAAGTGAACTTATTAAAGGCATTTATTTTTCTCTCTGAAACGCGGTGCTTTTCTTGAAAGCGATTTAAATTCGAACATCTGGGCGTTTTAATTCCCGATAGGAATAATAGATATTAACGCGGCCGCATACGTACGGGATTCCGATTCGGAAGAGCCCGAGAAGATTAAACTTTTGTTCGTTTAAAATCTATCTGGAATTTTTTCCAGAACATGTCTAATCGTCCTGGGATATTCCGAATAGGAATTCCGTAAGTGTACGGTCGCACTTATACAAAGAAATGTTCAGTGTAATCTGTACCAGTCTTTCCGTTTTTGTAATTTGATACATGTAGGAAAATTTTGATATACACCTGAAAATGTGGTTTTCGTCTAAAAAAATATTTTTCAGATCTATCAAATCCTTTTTTATTATTTTTTGAGCATACTGTTTTGCATTTTCTATCTAAGTATAGACTAAAGTCTATTCAAGTGGGGAAATTATAGGTTGGAAGCAGTATGCGGTAAATGGTTTGGTGTCAGTGGTGTTGCTTAATACTAATCCCTTATTATCACAATTTTTAGAATTTTAATGTTGGTTTCCATTTAAAAATATAAACTGTAACGTCATATCTGATTTTTGGATCACCCTGTATTATACGGCTATAGATGAAAAGTCGTCCTCCTAGAAATCAAGGTTGACGTATCTGAACGTTTTTTCCAAAATATACCAGGAGATTCGTTGGGCTACCCTGTATCTTTTGACATGCACAGGTTGAAGATTCATCTTACCTAAGTGAACCTACCTAATCTGGATCCGATTTTGCCTTTAGAAACGATTTAACTCATCCGTTATCTTTGAAACCACCAACGATGACTGGACGCCATTTTTTTCCGGAACATTCATTTGGCAATTTCACGCACGTATCTGGATTCCGACAGATCAAACAGCACTTGTGATATATAGCCCGCTGTGCTTTTTTCAATTTTCACCATCTCCGGCGCTTGATTTATAGTCGCCATAAGGAGGCGGACTGCGTAAATGCCGGCTAATAGAGGCAAAGAGGGAATTCTGATAAAGTCGGGAATCGCTGCCGATTCGGGAGCGTATCTCCTGGAGGATGGCGTGTGAAGAGCATACCTAAGCGCAGGATGTTTGTCTATCTGAGAGGAATTTAAATGGGGAACGCGAGAAAAGTTTCGTGAGGTTCACGGTGGAAAGTTTGGCGGCATTGTGTGGTTCGAATCGTCGACTGGTAACGATGTCAATGCGAAAAGTATCAAATATGTAAATATATATATATATATATATATAGGCAAACTTTTTAGGCTTTAGTAAACTCTTTTAACGGTAATCTCGAGCTTTCGGCATTCTCTATGGAGCCATCTTCAGGAGCTGAAAAAACAATTATTATGCTAGCGACCAATACGGGAAGGATTTAAATTGTCAGTCAACTTACCTCGCCGTTGAGGTTGTCTGACAATTTAAATCCTTCCCGTATTGAGTGCTAGCATGATAATTGTGTTTTCAGCTCCTGAAGATGGCTCCACAGAGAATGCCGAAAGCTCGAGATTACCGTTAAGGAGCTGAAAACACAATTATGATGCTAGCAACCAATACGGGAAGGATTTAAATTGTCAGATAACTTACTCGTCGTTGAGGTTGTCTGAGAATTTAAATCCTTCCCGTATTGGTTGCTAGCATGATAATTGCGTTTTCAGCTCCTGAAGATGGCTCCATAGAGAATGCAGGAAGCTCGAGGTTACCGTTAAGGAGCTGAAAACACAATTATGATGCTAGCAACCAATACGGGACGGATTTAAATTGTCAGACAACTTAATCGTCGTTGAGGTTGTCTGACAATTTAAATCCTTCCCGTATTGGTTGCTAGCATCATAATTGTGTTTTCAGCTCCTGAAGATGGCTCCACAGAGAATGCCGAAAGCTCGAGGTTACCGTTTAGGAGCTGAAAACACAATTATGATGCTAGCAACCAATACGGGAAGGATTTAAATTGTCAGACAACTTACTCGTCGTTGAGGTTGTCTGATAATTTAATTCCTTCCCGTATTGGTTGCTAGCATCATAATTGTGTTTTCAGCTCCTGAAGATGGCTCCATAGAGAATTCCGAAAGCTCGAGATTACCGTTAAGGAGCTGAAAACACAATTATGATGCTAGCAACCAATACGGGAAGGATTTAAATTGTCAGACAACTTAATCGTCGATGAGGTTGTCTGACAATTTAAATCCTTCCCGTATTGGTTGCTAGCATTATAATTGTATTTTCAGCTCCTGAAGATGGCTCCATAGAGAATGCCGAAAGCTCGAAGTTACCGTTAAGGAGCTGAAAACACAATTATTATGATAGCAACCAATAGGGGAAGGATTTAAATTGTCAGACAACTTACTCGTCGTTGAGGTTGTCTGACAATTTAAATCCTTCCCGTATTGGTTGCTAGCGTCATAATTGTGTTTTCAGCTCCTGAAGGTGGCTCCATAGAGAATGCCGAAAGCTCGAGATTACCGTTAAGGAGCTGAAAACACAATTATGATGCTAGCAACCAATACGGGAAGGATTTAAATTGTCAGACAACTTACTCGTCGTTCAGGTTGTTTGACAATTTAAATCCTTCCCGTATTGGTTGCTAGCATCATAATTGTGTTTTCAGCTCCTGAAGATGGCTCCACAGAGAATGCCGAAAGCTCGAGGCTACCGTTAAGGAGCTGAAAACACAATTATTATGATAGCAACCAATAGGGCAAGGATTTAAATTGTCAGACAACTTACTCGTCGTTGAGGTTGTCTGACAATTTAAATCCTTCCCGTATTGGTTGCTAGCATTATAATTGTATTTTCAGCTCCTGAAGATGGCTGCATAGAGAATGCCGAAAGCTCGAGGTTACCGTTAAGGAGCTGAAAACACAATTATGATGCTAGCAACCAATACGGGAAGGATTTAAATTGTCAGACAACTTACTCGTCGTTCAGGTTGTTTGACAATTTAAATCCTTCCCGTATTGGTTGCTAGCATCATAATTGTGTTTTCAGCTCCTGAAGATGGCTCCACAGAGAATGCCGAAAGCTCGAGGTTACCGTTTAGGAGCTGAAAACACAATTATCATGCTAGCACTCAATACGGGAAGGATTTAAATTGTCAGACAACTTACTCGTCGTTCAGGTTGTCTGACAATTTAAATCCTTCCCGTATTGGTTGCTAGCATCATAATTGTGTTTTCAGCTCCTGAAGATGGCTCCACAGAGAATGCCGAAAGCTCGAGGTTACCGTTTAGGAGCTGAAAACACAATTATCATGCTAGCACTCAATACGGGAAGGATTTAAATTGTCAGACAACTTACTCGTCGTTGATGTTGTCTGACAATTTAAATCCTTCCCGTATTGGTTGCTAGCATCATAATTGTGTTTTCAGCTCCTGAAGATGGCTCCATAGAGAATTCCGAAAGCTCGAGATTACCGTTAAGGATCTAAAAACACAATTATGATGTTAGCAACCAATACGGGAAGGATTTAAATTGTCAGACAACTTGCTCGTCGTTGAGGTTATCTGACAATTTAAATCCTTCCCGTATTGGTTGCTAGCATTATAATTGTATTTTCAGCTCCTGAAGATGGCTGCATAGAGAATGCCGAAAGCTCGAGGTTACCGTTAAGGAGCTGAAAACACAATTATGATGCTAGCAACCAATACGGGAAGGATTTAAATTGTCAGACAACCTCAACGACGAATAAGTTGTCTGACAATTTAAATCCTTCCCGTATTGGTTGCTAGCATCATAATTGTGTTTTCAGCTCCTGAAGATGGCTCCATAGAGAATGCCGAAAGCTCGAGATTACCGTTAAGGAGCTGAAAACATAATAATAACTTACTCCTTTACATCCAAGTTTTTTGAAGGAAACCATGCAACAACAAATCCCAGCAAGTCCCAACAAAAACTTCGGGGTACTCTTTGACGAAAAATTAAGGCTCCGAGATATATGCCAAAAAAATACATTTTGATCAAGTTTTTCAATTTACAGCAAATCGTTTGCTGAAAATTCTCATTCAACTCCTGTCTGCCTGCAGAACGGTGCACGGCCACACGTATCAGCAGCTTGTTGAACCGTAAGAAGAAAAACCTCCGACCGTAACTCATATCTGTAAACTCATAACGTTGCCGAACAGAATCCGCGCAAAGAGGTCAAATAAATTTCCTTTACAGTTTGTTTATAGGAGCTGCATCTCGATCCGCCGTATACATGAAAAGCGGCGGTGAATTATGGCTCCAGTAACGCGGAGTTCCGTTTTTGCGGGACTCAGTTTGCATTTCGAAT